CGTGTGCCATTGATCGAAACAAGTGATAGTCAGAGGGAGCAACGTCTGGAGAATACGGCGGGTGGGGTAGGACTTCCTATTTCAACGTTTCCAAGTATGTCTTGACCACTTTGGGGTCGAGCATTGTCATGCTGCAAAATTACTTTATCGTGTCTCTCGTTGTATTGCGGCCGTTTGTCTTTCAATGCTCGACTCAAACGCATCACTTGCGTTCGATACCGATCGCCTGTGATTGTTTCAGTCGGTTTTAACAGCTCATAATACACTACGCCGAGCTGGTCCCACCAAATACAGAGCATGACCTTGGAGCCGTGAATATTCGGTTTGGCCGTCGACGTGGAAGCATGGCCGGGAACTCCCCATGATTTTCTGCGCTTGGGGTTATCGTAATGAACCCATTTTTCGTCCCCAGTCACAATGCGATGCAGAAATCCCTTCCGTCTTTGCCTTTCAAGCAGCTGTTCACAAGCAAACAAACGCCGTTCAACATCTCTCGGCTTCAATTCGTACGGCACCCAATTTCCTTGCTTCTGAATCATTCCCATGGCTTTGAGGCGTTTTGAAATGGCTTGTTGAGTCACTCCCAATGATCGTGCCAATTCTTCTTGATTTTGACACGAGTCTTGATCAAGTAATGTCTCCAATTCTGCATCTTCGAAAACCTCTTCTCTTCCACCGCTATGCCGGTCTTCGACGTCAAAATCACCGTTCTTGAAGCGTTGAAACCACTCACGACACGTTCTTTCACTAGCGGCCTCACCATAAGTATTTGAGAGCATTCGATGAGCCTCAGCCGCAGATTTCTTCATATTAAAGCAGAAAATTATAACCTCCCGCAAATGACGAGAATTTGGCTCGCAAACTGACATTTTTAATCGAGAATAACTTTATGATGCAGACACAAATCGACTAATGTTTCTATGGGGTTATGTTGACAGATGCCCAAGTTTATTGTATGACGTTTATGATCTATTTATTTCGACCACCACTTATCGCTAAAGCCACCTATAGGAAAAGAAAAGTTGTACACCTAATATTTTAATTGGGTTTTCATACACATACATATATTGATATTTGAAATATTGAATATATAATTAAAAAAGAAATTTTACATTAATATCACATCAATTTGTTTAATATTTTAGGAGATATAAATCGCAGTGCTCTTCGTGTTACAAAATATCTGTCCATTTGACGACATTGATTGCGCCCCTATTACTCATTTGAAATAAGCGAATCAAATTATTTTTTTAATCTATATAAGAGAGTGTGTGTATAGCTTCATCCCTTACCAAAATAAAAAATATAAAATAATTATTAACAAAATGGCGATCTTTAAAAGATTGAAATTCAAATTTAATACACATTTTTCAAATTTGACGAGACGAGAAACGAACTTAGAATTGGTAGCATATGACTGAATTCTTTTAGAATTCTCTGTGCCATCTTAGTAGTGGTTTATTATACGTGAAATCGAACTGGCATGTATACTTGGCCGTATATTTGGGTCTTTCATCCTTGCGTCTTTCAAAGCTCTATAATTTTGATATTATGAATATTGCTTTAATATTTTAGGAGTACATTTTCAAGACCTTAAACTTTCAGAAATTTCACATTATAAAATGCAATTCAAAACAAGTGAAAATTCAAAACATTCTATAATGTGGAATCACGTTTCACATCACCGAATCATATCACCGAATGTGATCCATCGTGGAATACAATTTAAGAAATTTAACAAGAAAATTACTCTTATTACTTAGATAAAGATAATAAGAGAGTAATTTTATCTAAACAATAGAGAAAATTGGTCTTTTATCACTTCTTGTCATACTCTTAAATATCTTAGAGTGAAATTTGAAGCTTAAAAAGTAGAGTAAAGTGACAATCAAGTTACTCGAATTCGAACGATTTTTCACTCATATAGAGTGATTTTTTTACTCTGAATAGTTGAGTGAATATTTTCAATCAAAATTAAAGAGTAAAACTGATATATATTTTACAACTTTTACAATTCTGTAATGATTAGTGATTCTTTCCATACAGAACAAAATACATCTCATGGATATCCTATACCTATAGTAGATATCGCGATATCTACAGGATATCCATGAGATATATTTTGGATATTTGTCCTTTATGAGTACATATAGAAAAATAATATTTTACTGTTAAGAAAAATGATTATTCAACTTAATTTTCCTTTTTTTAAGAAATGGTTACTTTTAACGAAGAATATTTTCTTGATAGCAGTCTTAAGATATGATTATCATACAAATTTAAGAAAAGTTCATTATACGATGAACTCAAAAAAAGAATCTATTTTCTTTACAATATATATAGAATGTTATAAAATATTTAAGAAAAATTTGGTTCGACTCTTTGTGTATAGTCAAAAATTTTTATTTTAATTTAATATTTTTGATTGAAATGTTAAAATATTTTCCAGGATTCAGAATGTATTTTAAGTAAAGTTAATATTTGTGATAAACTTTTAAGGATAAATTTAAGGATATATACTTCCCTTATAGAAATATCATATTAAGAATCATTAATAATTACTTATTTTCAGTATTAAAAATACTGGATAATAAATAATTATCAATGATTCTTAGTATGATATTTCTATAAAGGTTGTATAAACTTATAAAATACTTGAAACAAGCAACATTTACTTAAATGCAATATGCATTTTTCTGTGTTAAGTTGTGTGATATATTGAACTTTATTGATCTGAAAATTATTTATGTTTTAGCAAATACGAAAGCCCGATCAACTGTTGCCGTACTTTGTGATGGAATTGTCGCACGCGATTCCAGGCTTACCAGGACTGTTTGTTTCCGGTGTATTCAGTGCTGCGTTGAGGTATCACGAAACACGCATATCACTCTTCTGCCAATTATTACTGAAAACTCTGATTTCTATACGTAGCTATCTTTGCTTAAAAAATTCGATATAAGAATTGATAGAAATGTACACAAATTTCATTGAAATACTACATGAATATTCTCTCTCTTTATTTGAACTTATTATTTCTATTAAAAACTTCAATGCATTCAGCTCGTATAAAAAAATATAAATCTTTTTATATCGTAACTTTTAACGATTAAATATTTATCTGAATATACATGCCTTCCCAGATAGCACAGAAAATTTAAAAAGAATTCAGTCGTATGTCACCCATTCTGAGTTCATTTTCAGATGCAAAAAGAATTCTTTTTACATCTAAAAATGAACTCAGAATTGGTGATGTACGCGACTGAATTTTTTTTTTATTTTTTTTTGAACGCTCTGTGCTATCTGGGTTTCTATGTAATTTTATTATTTTTTATCAAAAACACGATTCAATTACACAGATTTTTCTTATCTAATTCTACCAAATCTTTCAAGCAGAGATATATAAGATTTTTAAGATCAGAAAGATGGATGTCGGGTGTTAGGAAAAGAAAGAAACGACGTATTTTCCTTGAACAGGCTAACGCACGTCGCCTTTTCTTAACACTCTATCCTATATGCCCGTTCATTTTCCCTTATTCGCGATTATGTACATTCGCTCATTGACCTCTAGCACAATGTCGACCGGATTGAATTCCATGTCGGGCGTAATCTACGAGGACATGATCAAGCCGTGTTTCCGTAATCCGATCTCCAACGTCGGCGCAAGCCGCATAATGAAAGCCACGGTTGTGATAATAGGAGCCATTTGCGTAGGCTTGGTCTTTATGGTGGAGAAACTGAGTGGCTTGATTCAGGTACGACGTTCTTGTAACATTGAGTGTCCGTTTTGTTCGAATTACGAATCGGAGTAAGGTTCGCCAATTACCTCACGATCAATTTGTGATCTATCTTTCCTTTTTCAGGCCGGTAGAAGCTTGTCAGGTATAACCGCAGGTCCTTTACTCGGAATGTTCACGTTGGGCATGTTCTTTCCAATGGCCAATTCTACGGTAATAAGCTCTGATTGTAAAAATTCAGTTACAAACTTTCCCAAGTTTATTTCATCGTCGGAACGTAGCGTCAAGCTGCGGAACTTTTGGATTAGGCAAATATTATGTTAATTGACAGCTTGAGATCTTACATTAAAATTTTTTTGTTCGTTTTCGTCACATATCGAGCAATGCTCCTATTTATTTTTGCACGTACTTTCATTGCGTAAAAGCATTTATAATTCTGTGTAATTAATACGACGTAAAATTGCAGAAAAATGTCAGTGTTCTGTCGGTAAAGTTTTCAGCTTCAGCATCCTTTTAACAACTACAAAAGGAAAACACGACGACTACAACCTATTCCTATCTATTCCTGGATCAATATTATACAGTCAGTTACGAGATATAAAAAACTCGCCGAATCAATCGTTAAAACTAGCACGATTCTGGATAATCTTGTATTTCTCACGCAACCTTTTCATTTCTGTGCTGTTACCTATGTAGGGAGCACTTGTCGGTGCGTTAGTCAGTCTTAACCTGGTTGCTTGGATCTCTTTTGGATCGCAAGCTGCGATCTCCACGGGATCGATTTATTTCCCTGTGAAACCGGTATCGGTGGAAGGCTGTTCCGAGTCACTGAGAAGCATCGCTGGAAATCTCACATTGATCGTCGAGAACGCCGTCAGGTACAAGTTCATCGGTCGAATCGTGACAGTGCGTAAAAATCACTACTCTGACTCATTGTGATTAAGTTACAATTTTTATTTTTAGGGAACAGCCCTTCTTTTTGTACAGAATGTCGTATCTCTGGTACACGTGGGTGGGTTTCTTAACTACAATTCTGGTGGGCCTGGTGGTCTCGTGGTTCACGGGCCCGCATAAGTACAGTTACGCGGACAAGAGACTATTTACACCCGTTATACATGGTCTCTTACGCTCGAGGGATTCTCCGAAAACGGTATGTTCATTTCTTCGCGACCGATTTGTCGTCCGAATCTCTTCGTGCTAATTAATAATGTTCGTATCTTCACTTTTTTTCGCAGAATCAGGCGGAACTCACGAGAATGGTCAACGATGCGAGCGATACGACGACGCAGATTTCTTCGAAATGTTAACGAAGAGCCGTTTGGCTAAAATTGCCGATTCGGCTAAGAGATTTATATTCGCAGGGATTAAATCTAGATTCATTCAAGTTTGCTTTCGACTAGTTTTGATATCTCGTAAAATTATATTGCGGAGCAAATGACGGTCCTACTAAATCTTTTAATGATTTAATTGTCCATCGTGCATAATCATCGATCGATCACATTACATATAAGACGAAACTACTACGTCGAATATTCGTCATTTCACGCACGCACAAACTAATTAATGATAAATAAACTATTATACAAACCCAGGCAAAGTGAGAAACAACGTTACAAAACGAGATAGTCTCGTTTTGAACGATGAACGTCTCGTATTTAAATTTAATTAGGCCGATGAATAAATTCATAACATGACAAAGATCTTACTCGAAATATTAATCGCATATCTACTTGTACAAATATCTATCGTTAATAAGGACAATTTTTGTATAGTTTGTGCTTAATTCACATGTGGCAAAGTGTAAAATTTTCACGGGTAATTGTCGTAAAATCTACCAAAATACCTAGAAGCTAGACAAACACACTGGTGAATACTATATATCATAGCGCGCATATACTGCATCTTTTGTTAATATTTCCACACGATAGGTTTCCACTGGTAACGAATGTCTCATTCGTATAAAACATCAATAATTTGTATAAACATTCTGTTAACAATATTAACTGATGAACAGCAACGCTAAAACTGAACTGAGAAAACTGGATATTCGTGAACTGGATGCACAAGTAATATTTACCATAGAATGTATACAATATGTACAACCATCATGAGTTGTCGATTTGACAATATCTCCTTATATCACTAAACCTCACAGCACAAATTCGTAGCTATACATAATACGCAATTAATTGTTAATAATATATAATAACGGTGCACGGGGTACTGTCTTGTAAAAATTCGGAACTTATGGAAAGAAGCATCTCGAGATCTGTTCTCGCGGCACACGGTGCACTTGCACATTTGGCACTGCTTCCTTCTCAGTCTTAAATTTGGCGAATTCAAGACGTGAGCGGCGACATGCCGATCGTTCTAGGATCTTGTTGACCCGGCTGGGTCGGTGGACCTGGCTGAGGACCGGTCTCTAAATTTTTCAGAAGCATGTTTAACCAATGCTTCGTCGAGGCGTCTTCTTGTAAGCAAGTGGCAAAAGTATTGTCCCTTAGTTGATCCGGTAAGCATTGCCTTAATGCTAATAGTGCTCTGCGAAGTTAATTATATTTAAGTTTTAGGTACTAGATAAGATCGCACTGCATATAATAGAGATTAATATTGATATGTTAGAAGTATACAGATATTCGAAATTGCGAGTTGAGATTTTTGATTGTTAAAGTGTATTTCAGCACTTGGTTATTTATTTACTTTGTAGCGGAAAACGTATTTACAAGTGAAATTATTTGACTCTCAGTTCTTTTATTGAATTAAATTAAAATAAATAATATGCACTTTGTTATCACTTAGTATTTACCTAGGATTATCCGATAGTCTCAAGTAACATCTTACAACGTGCTTAAGCAATCTAGCCGATGGATCCTTGGCTAAGGATAAAACCATTTTCCCCAGGATCATTGCAACATGACTGAATCTGTCGTACGTTTGACAAATATACGAAAGGCCACTATCGTCCAACAATATTTTTTGCAGTATAAACGTGGCGACAGTTTTGCTTAATTCTGAGCCGCTCTCCATAATTCGCAAGCATAAAGGAATGATTTCTGTAGTTAGCAAGAAAGTGATGACCTCCTGTTCATCTGTTTTGACTAACGCTCCTATTACTCCAAGACTAGTCAGTCTTAGGTATTCAAAAGGCCTAGTTTTGCTCACTGTGTGCAAAAACGGATATAAGAATAATGGAACATGAGCCTGAAACCAAAGAAACACATACAAATTGCATTAAAATATCAAAAGACATATATATATATATATATATATATATATATATATATATATATATATATCATACTGCTAAAAGTTTTGACATATTTCACACGTCCTAACTTAACCACTTTAATTTTTGTATTAATATTTTAAGTTAATAGGTAAATATATTAACAAATAAAACATCTGTATGTGTATATATACTTTACATATAAAATATGTTATTAAGAATTTACATAATATATTATCATGAATTTTGTTACAAAACATAAAAATTGTTATTAACACTTATTAAATATTTATTAACACTTATATACACTTATTAATAGAACATAATTTTTCGATATCGTATGCATTTAACGAGTCTCAAAAATAAAAATTAGTAAAACTGCATAAAAAGTAACATCTCACAATTTTTTTCTTTTTAAAATATGTTATAAAGATGAAATTTTAAGTAACTTTTTCCTATACAACTATATGGGGGTCCCATATAGTTTCGGAGATATTTGACTTTAAAGTTTTGAAAGTGTACATGTATGTGTTATAAATGGACTTAATAACTAACCTAACAGATCTGGCAATTATACATAGAAATATAGCGTTCCGTTTCCACGCATAATGCGCATGAAGCGCAGCGTTAGAGTGACAGAAATACGAAAGTAAGATAAAATGAGAGGGAGAGCACTCGGGTGAGGTTCTCGAACCTAGGTTAGGTTAGTTCTCGAACGCATGAACTGCATCAGCTCCGAGATAGTGCAGTCTATGCAATCTCATGCGTTCAAGAACTAACCTAACCTAGGTTCGACAACCTCACCCGAGAGCTCTCCCTCTCTTTTTGGTTGCGTTCCGTTTCACGCATATGCGCGCATTTATCTATAGTTCATGTTACGTATATTGTAGACAATGCGCGCATAATGCGTGAAACGGAACGCAACCTTTATCTCACTCTCGTATCTCTGTCACTCTAACGCTGCGTTTCATGCGTATCATGCGTGGAAACGGAACGCACCCATAGTAAACAGTATATGCGCCCCTTCCCAAAAAACTAACCCTAACCTAACCTATCTATTGAAATATGACAATAACTGTACACGTATGTACGTAACCCAATCTTTACATTTTTATATATAATTTCTCAATGGAAAATAATATAAGAATACAAATGCAGGTACTGCTTGCGATATTTTTTGCATTTTTGCAAATTATATATAAAAATGTAAAGACTGGGTTGCATATATACATGTACAGTTTACCATATTTCAATAGATAGGTTAGATAGATAGTTTTTTGGGAAAGGGATGCGGGGCTCCTCCCCTCCCCCGCGCATATATGTGTACTGTTTGCTATATTTACCTTATCTTTAATATACACAAATAAAACATCGTATTTAAAAAAATTTCTTTGATTTATAACTTTTTAATGACTAATCAGCGACAGCTAAAACCTTTCAAAAGTTACTCAGTAAGATGTCCTTAATAACATATAAAAATATAAAAGTGCAGTAAAGTCCATTTATAACACATACACACTTTCAAAACTATATAGGAAAAAGTTACTCAGAATTTCATTCTTTATAACATATTTCAAAAATAAAAAAGTCGGTGAGATGTTACCTTTTATGCAGTTTTACCTAAAAATTTGTGGTATATTTGTATCTTTCATGCTCCGCTAAAAACCTAATCTAATCTAACTTTATAGCATTATGACAATGTTAGTTATTAAAATATTAAAATATATGTGCATAAAAGTATATATTTTAACAACATTGTTACAATACTGTAAAAGATTAGGTTATATTAAGTAAGGTTAAGTTAGATTTTTAACAGATTGAGGGACACAGCTCTCCACCTTAAAGCTTTCCTTCAAAAATGTACTTTTGAATATTTTTTCTTGTTATACACATTCACATTCATATTCAGTATTATACATACTAAAATTACAATATGAAACATAGTCAACATTTACATAAATCAAGGAATTACAGTATTTGGGTTATTTCATGGATATATAGAATTCATTCAAGTATTTAAAAAAAAGTATTGATGCATTCATCAAAATCATATATTCTTTTAAGTAAAAATTCTGCAATATAATTAATATAATGCAATGTAATAGTACTCGCAACCTTATGTATCATAAGAAAGAATACTTGCTTTCATATCAATCAAACTGTTATTATCCAACTGTGTGGCAATGTGTGTGGTATGTGAGACACTAGTTTATTGAACAGTAATATATTTGTATATATGTTACATATTTACTTTTCAAATATACATACTATCAGAAAAAAATGGTCTATTTATGAAACTTCTTTTGTAACTTTCTAATAAATAGCAAGTAATGGTTGAAATCTTTCAATTATTACTCAAGACGACCTCTACAATATATGTAAAAGACACAATCATCAAAGGTATCTCCCTTAAACAAGAATTTTACAATAAAAAAAAGTTAACAAGTTAAAGTTAATACATTCTGTATATATGACTTCCTAGTTTAAACTGAAAGTTGATTTGTTTAAAATTAACAGAATTAAGTTAAAAGCTATTAATTTCTTAACATCTAAACTTTTTTGTAACTGATTAAGTAGATTAGATAAATACTGATTAAACCGATTAAACATTATCTAACTCTGTATATAGAATACAAAAACATATCAACACATTCAAGCCCAAAAATTCAAATGTCTATTCATATTGGGTGAAATATGCTTTGACTCAAGCTTCAGGTGCAAGCGGTATTGTGTGTAAAAAGCTTTCTGCACTAGAAAGAAAATCCCACCCCATCAAAGTGTAAAATATTTCAAAGACTCGCATTTCGCGATATATACATTCAAAACAATATAAATCTTTTTAAATCGTGTGATCTTACCTGTAGGAATGCAGATCTTGTCTCAGGATGGCTGGCTACACATTGTAACAGAGCCAAGGCATTGCACACGCGATTGCTCTGATAAGCGGTAAGGGTCGCAGGATTAATAGCCGGGTAGATGTTAATGATTTCTTGTAATAAGGAGGCTGTAGTGCCGAACGAATGCCATAACATCGGCGCTAGGTCAGGCACTACCTCACGTTTCTTACTCAATTCCAGTAACGCATTCTCCCGCGTTTCCGGGTTCGACAGTTCAATTATCCACGTGTAAATCTTCTCGCGATCGACAGTGGATTGTAGAGCGGCTGGGCTTTGTTGCGAGCTCATTGTGACTTTTGTTCTCGATTGTGCAATTCGACTGTAACGTTGCGGCCCTTCGTGTTCGCGCGATGTGTAATGTATAACCTTTTTATGTTCCGTGCGAATTCTCGAAATTCAAAGCTCGACGATGTATCTTGTGTACGATGATTCGCAATATTCGTTGTGTCTGAAATATCAAACGTTTTGACTAAAATAAATATGTATTTCGGCGTCACGTTCTCGTACGTTCTGTAACGTCCTGTTTCATCAGGTCACACTTGGTTATAGTTTACCGCGAACTGTGTAGAGAGAGAAACGAATCCCTTCTTTTTCTTCTGAAGCCCAATTCTTGGCAGTGAGCGCTTTCTAGCTACGTGCGTATACCATGGACGTAGTATACATCCAATTGCTTAAGTCCCGATCTACAATAGATGTAGTAAGCTTCAAGCCGTAAGAAATTAACCAATCACAATTGATTATTCCTATATAATTCCACTGTGATTGGTCAATTTCTTAAGGCTTAAAACTTACTACACCTATTGTGGCTTGGGACTAAAGCCAGCGGCACACGATGCTTGTTTTTGTGCTGGATTGCTTGCTGGATGGAAATATTCTATTCTGATTGGTGCGTCTTCAGAAATGCACCAATCAGAACAGAGTATTTCCACCCAGCAAGCAATCCAGCATGAAAACAAGCCTCGTGTGCCGCTGGCTTAATACATATTGACACGTACGTAAAACCAGTTTATTGGTCACATAGGCCAGTATTCATAGTCCGATCTTACATTTAAGATCATCTTAAGTACTGTCTTAAGATGTCATGAACCAATTCAGAGCCGTATTCGCATCTTAAGACATTACTTAAGATATTACTTAAGACGGTTTTGAAATAAAATTCGACTATGAATACCGGCCATATTATCTAAAATATCTTGTAAGATAATATGCAACCAATAAACTAGTTTTGTGTAAGGGTGCAAACCCATGCAACGGAATAGTGGAGCGCGGAACGAAAGCGGAACCAATCACGAGCGTTCTACAGTTTTCGCTCGTGATTGATTCCGCTCTTGTTCCGCGCTCTGCTATTCCGCTGCATAGGTTCGCAACCCAGGCTTCTCTCTGTCTATAGTATACATAATATAAACTATAGATTTTCAGTATTGGCAGTGAATATCGAAACGCAGCCAATGGTTTAGTTTACATCGTGCACTTGATACGCGTATTAAATAGTAAATTTTTATTAAATAATTGTAACGTATTGTATTGATTGAATGCGTCGCCATTGATATGCATTGTCAATATTAAGATTATCTAATAGAAAGTTACTATTTAGTACACGTATCCAGTGCATGATATAAACCAGGCCAGTGTAGGTAGCTAGGTTAGGCGACAATTTCCCGAAAAGTGGAGGAGATAATGTTAGTACCAAGGAAAATCTCTACATAATAATAATTTAAATGTCTGTTCTTTGTAACTGCATTGCTCAACAAGTGCAGAAGGTTAAGCCAGCGGCATACGGTACTTGTTTTCGTGCTGGATTGCTTGCTGATTGGTACATTTCTGAAGATGGATGGAAATGCACCAATCAAAATAGAGTATTTCCATCTAGTAAGCAATGCAGCATGAAAACAAGCACGGTGTGTCGTTGGCTTTAGAGTGAGAAAACGTATACGTTGGTCTGTTCTTTTCAGCTGCACTACTGATCTGGTGCAATAAATTAGAGTGAGAAAAGATATACTTGTCTTACTTTAACTTATTGCACCTATTCAGTAGTGCAACTGAAAAGAACTGACCATTTCACTTCAATTTATTGCACCAGTTCAGCAATGCAATTACAAAGAACAGGCCTTTAAATTATATCGTGTAGAGATTTTCTTTGGTACCAACATTATCCTTTCCACTTTTCAGTAAATTGTCGCCTAACCATAAATAGGTTTATTCGTGATATTTATACTTTTCGCACTTTTCGCACTTAGAATAAGATAGATGCATATTCGGACGCTGGAAGAAGCAAGAGCGAGAAGATCGAGTGCGGAAAGTACGAGTAACACGAACAAACCAAATGATAAAGATGCAATGACGCGGTAGCATTGGTAGTGTACTCCCTGAATATATCCCTGACAATGTGCCGGTAAAGGGATAGGACCCGATTTACCACGATACGATTGGACACAGATTGTAATGATTGGTAGGACCTAGTAATTCACTAGATAATTCTTTTCATCGGTTGGTTGTGTCCAATCGTATCAATCGGGACGCTTCTCCGGTAAAGTAGTTTGGTAAATATTCAAAGTGGAATCCTATACATTATCGACTGTGTCTACTGTCGATGATTGTTCCCTTTAGATGTCGCAGTATGTACGTGATATTTTTTATTATTTAAATTTCAAATAAACTAGAGAATATAGTTGAACGAGACCAGTGCGTTAAAAGGATATTTCGATAAATTAGAAAATATATTGTTTTATCTCAAAGATATTTACATTACAAACATAATATTATTGATGCAATGAAGCTACGAAATGCAGTTAAATGTAAGACAGATGTGATTAAGAATTAAAACAAACGAATGCTTCTATATAAATTTGAAAAAGTATAACGGAATATCTCGTTATTTTTCACTCATATTTATTTTTCATTCACATCTATTTTTAACTCACGATCTTATCATTAAAGAGTGAATCGATGACAAACTCCAAAAATTAATATCCAATGTTAACAACGCAAAATATTATGTAAATATGTTGTTTTGTTTTACTATGTTTAGGGGAAATTTAACTACACATATATAGAAGTTTTTCTGCAAACTTTTTTGATATTTTTAAGCTTCTAAATTCAAATGTAAAAATACAACGATGTTTCTTGACATTTCTCTGAGTAGAACAAACTTCGCGTTCAGTATATAGGTGCATAATTTAATTTGGTGTTTTTACATTTAATTAATCAAAACTCTGTATTAAATTTAAATATCTTCCCGTCATTTAGTGGGTTTGAGATGCTAATCTTAAGATTTAAAATGCACTAATAATGCACTAATAATGCACTTATAATGAAGCTGACGACATAATCTTACAAAATAAATAAAATATTGAAGACGATAACATTCAATAAATAGCATATCAAATGCTGTGCGCAGTGCATTCATTTTGTTTTCTAATTGAAAAAAATACTGTTGAAGTTACAAATATGATTTGCTTAGCTTTGTTTTAATACATGAAACCTGTAAAAAGTGATACCAAAAGTTTCGGAATGGTGATTTCTGTTTAACTGATAAATAATTATATTCCTGGCGCGCCGAAAGAATTTGAAAACAAGAAGCTTGAGCAGTTGTTGAAAGAAAATTCCATTCAGACTCAAGATGAATTTGCGTTACAATTAGAAGTAACCCGTTAATTAATTTCTGTTTCCTCACATAAGCTACGAAAAGTTAAAAAACTAGGTCGATGGATTCAGCACGAACTCAACTCAGATAGCAAGCAAAGGAGATCCGACATGGCGATGCCTTTGCTATGAAGGACGAAATGAAGAACTTTTGTACAAAATCATTACTTCATGAAAAATTGATTTTGCATGACAACTCTAAAAGAAAAAAAATGCATGGATTAATCCTTGTCAACTATTGACATGGACCGCAAAATCTAATATTTACGTAAAGAAAGTTTTATTATCTATTTGGTAGGATATGAAGGGCGTGATATATGTTATGAGTTGCCTGGTCAAAAAAATTAATACTGATATTAATTACTAATAACAACTCATTCGTTTGAGCGACTAAATAGAGGTTAAAAGACCGTTTACTGGCCATGGAATGCGGCAAGTTATCTTACAACACGATAACGCTTGGTCGCAGAAGGGACGAAGAACTCTAAAAGGATATTATTTATTAAAAGGATATTACTTATTTGCTAGCTTGGGAACTTCTCCCTCTCTCTCGTGCAGCTTATTTACCAGACCTAGCTCCTTTGAATCACCATCTTTTCCGACCGCTCCAATACCATTCGGCGGATAGACACTCTAAAAGTGTGAAAGAGGTCTGAAAATGTGTTAACAGTTTCATCTCACTCAGCCGTCGTTTTTTCGAAAAGGGATTCGTCAGTTGCTTGGTAGATGGAGAAAATTATTAAAAAATTATAATGAGTATTTCGAATATTGATATGTCTATTATTTTTTTGTAAATGTTAATAAAATTCAATTTCTTTAAAGAAAGCACTATATTAATTTGTTTACTTAATACAAGATCCTTTGTATCAGGCGAAAATTTACACACTCTGATAGACTAATTTATTTATTACTCGAAATGTCAACTTTGAAATTTTATCGTTTCTATCATATATTGAGCAATAGTCCAATTTATTTTCCTACATATTTTTATTGTGCAATAGTACTTGTAATTTTCACACAACGTCAATACAACGTAAACATTGTAGAAAAAAGTGAATAATCTGTTGGTAAAGATTTCAACTTCGGCGTCCCTTTAAACTGATGTCATTCTGTCATTTCACAACCCTCCAAATCATTATATTTCTTGAATAAACTGTCAAATGTAATCTACGTTCCATTAAAGTTTCAAGTGGTGTTTTTTATCGTTTTTTATTCACAAGTCTTTCTTGTGTTGTAGCTCCGTCCCTGGTGGTCGGGTGGTCGGGTGGTCGCAGGAGGAACGCGCACTCGTTTCGTGAGAGGGGGTTTCACGAGACGACGCCTCGAGCAGACGAGCGAGCACGTCGCCGCGCCCGGCTCGGTGTATTTTTAACCGGATCTCGTGGATCTTGTTGAAAGGGTGCGCGCTCTGAGAGTCGCGCGAGAGTGTCGCGACGCGTGCAGGCGCGCTGGTGGTTGGGCATCGTCGGTGCAATATCCAGGAGAACGTGGAAGGAAGCTGTGCGGAGAAGCTGCCACACGAAAAGACGACAGAGAGCGAGCGAGGCGGAGACGCCGACGCGCAACAGGTGAGAGAACGTGGGGGCGACGTCAGCTGATCGCGGCGCGATGAAACGTTATGGCGAGGAGCGCGATCGTGCGCCGTG